TCGCTATGAGTTGAAAGTAACTTGATGGCACTTAACTACCAGGTGTGTATATATGTGCAAGAAGTGGAGCCCCAGCTCTTGACTCATTGCGACCCTGTATACTGCTTCCGAAGGAGCTCTGGTAGTGTAGTGGTTATGAATCAGGCTACTAACCTCAAGGTTAGCAGTTCAAAATGACCAGCTGTTCCGTGAGAGAAAGATGAGGCTTTCTGCTCCCATTAAAGATTTACAGCCTCGGGAACCCTGTGCAGAGACGCTATGAGTCGGAACAGACTCCACCATAGGGGCTCCTGAGGCTGTAAACCTTCATGGGAGCAGAAAGACTCATCTTTCTCCTGTCGAGCAGCTAGTGGATATATAGAGAATGTTATACCAGTAACTTTCCATGAACTTTATCTATTAATTACATTTTTTTCATGGACTTTCTAAGCCCCCTCATATTATGTATAGTATATAAAATATGTCATAAATACATACAAATTAAGGAGCTCTGGTAGCATAGTGGTTACAAAGAGGTCTGCTAACCTCAAGGTCGGCAGTTCAAAACTACCAGCTATTCCATGTGAGAGAGATGGGGCTTTCTGCTCCTGTAAAGATTTACAGCCTCAGAAACTGTACAGGGTCACTATGAGTCAGAAATGACTCCACGGTACTTAACAACAACATATACAAATTATAAATCTATCAATATAAAATCTAAACAATGTATTTATAAATTAAAATACATAACAATTAATAAACATGATAGACATACTAAATAATATACGTAAATTATAAATTTATATAAAATGAGCATAAATAGATTGATTTTGTAATTTTCTGAAAGTACACATGAGGTTGTCATGAGTGAGACTCAATGACAACCGATTTTTGTTTGGATACAATGGATGAAAGAATAAAGAATGAATGTCATTTTAAATGCATCATACAATCAAATAAGATTTATATAGATAAAGGCATTTGACTTACAGTATAACAGTATCTTCCCTTGAGGTAAAACAAAAAGGGTTCTTGAGGTAAAAACTGGATTGCTTTATCTAGATGTTCCTGAAAGAAACATCCAACGGAATGTTATTTCCCTGATTTCAGATACACTGAATGGACCTGTACTGAAGCTTAGTAAACTCTGCGGTGGTTTTTCAATGTTGTCTCTTTCTCCCCAAATAATCTGTACCATTTATAAAATTACTTCTGATCAATTATTCAGTTACCAAAATTGATTGCTCAAACCACACCTGAAGCTATATGTAAGACTGAATAAGACTACAGATAATATAAAGGAGAGCTGGTAGCATAGTGGTTACGAATCGGGCTGCTAACCTCAAGGTCAGCAGTTCGAAACTACCAGCAATTTCGTGGGAGAAAGTTGAGGCGGTCTGCTCCCGTAAAGATTTACAGCCTCGGAAACCCTGTGTAGGGTCACTGTGAGTCGGAACCAATTCCACGGTACTTAACAACAACAACAGATGATATAAGGTCAAAATGTTTGTCTAATGCAGTAATTCAAAGGTAAGAGTTCATTCATATACCAAATGCCCTGTAATAAGGTGTAATGGAGGATGGAATATCAAATGGAAAAGGAATCCAATCCCTTAGCATTGTAAAAATGGATACAGGAAGTTGGAAAACAAGGAAGAAATCTTTGTTCATCCTGTAGTTAACTGATTCTTCAGGGTTGATTTTGAGCTCTCATAACTAGGGGAAAACGATAAACTATGTGTCTGTCAATTACCTAGTTTGTTCATCTTGCTGTTAAGTGGCGTCAAGTGGGCTCTGACTCATAGTGATACTATATAAGGTTTCCAAAGAGCGGCTGCTGAGTTTGAACAGTGAACCTTGTGGTTCAAATGAACCTTGCTTTATCCCACAGCGCCACACCAGGACTCCAATTCTGTTCATTTACCATGGTAAATTTAAGCCCTAGACTCAATCCTACTTCTTTGCACCAAGTCAATATACAGAGAATGTTAACTAATTACTCCTAATTATGTATATTATGATATTGATGAGCTGATGACCAGAAGATTGAATTTCTAATTCTCTATCTTTGAAATAATAATCTTTAACCACCAAATAGTTTGATTCTTTTCTTCATGGTACTGTTTAAAGACTGCATTTTATATTTTTCACTCTTTGAATAAAGATGGATCCCTAGAATTGAATTTGTCCAATAATTAGATTTACATCTGCTAATAGAAAATAAAGCTAGCTACAATGCTAATGGAAAATATAGCTACAATAAAGCATTTTTAATATCAAAAATACCTTGAAGCGATGCCCATAGTTGATTTTGTTCTGTAAGCCCTCAAACTCAGACACATAGCCACACAAAACTGCGAACCTAGAAAAGATAAACAGAAGGCAGTGCAAATCTTCAATCTCTAAAGTATACATCATTTTTTAGTGAAAGTATTCATACAGAACCAAATGCCCTAAAAAGAAGAAATACTTGACATTAATATGAAGCCAGTTTCCTCATCTCTAACAAGGAATACTAACACCACCTACATCATCTGCATGTTGTGAAGGTAAAATGAGCGAAACCATGTCACAGAATGTTGTTAGCATAGACCAAACATTTCCCTACTAATACTTTGGATTAAGTAATCAATAACAGTATGTTGTTGTTGAGATGTGCTATAGAGTTGGTTCCAACTCATAGTGACCCTGTACAGGGTTTCCAAGGCTGTAAATCTTTATGGGAGCAGAACACCTCATCTTTCTCCCACGGAGCAGCTGGTAGCTTCGAACTCCTGACCTTAAGGTTCAAAGTCTGATTCGTAACCACTACGCTACCAGAGCTCCTATAACAAATGTTAGCATGGCTAAATACAAATTTTAAAAATATACATTCAAATTTTAGAATATGCTTTTTCAAAAACCTCACCATCTTCATCACATCTTCCTGGAAATATTGTATTACTACAGTAGTACATTTGGAGTCCTAGTTTGAAGCTCGGGTTAATGTGATGGACAGCAAGGGAGGTTTGAACCTTGGTGGTTCAAGCTCAATAGCAGCTCTTATGAAACCCTCTACAGGGTCGCTATGAGTCAGAACCGACTCAACTGCACTTCACATAACCATAACATACTTGAAGTATTTAGATAAATGGGTATTTTGCCTCAGACAGGAACACTTGGAAGACTTTCAGAGAGAGAAACATTCTAAATGTATGAAGTAACATATTTCTAAATTTTTATAGCAATTTACTGAACAAATATGAAATCCAAATTATAGTCACATAACATTTAATGCAATTTTTGTGTTCCCAAAGTTAAAGATAAATAGTCTAGGATGTTACTATTTTGTTTTTATAGAGGGTTTCCAAGGAGCAGCTGGTGACTTTGAACCGTCGACCTTGTGATTCAAACCAACCTTGCAGTCCAGTGCTTTATTCTACAGAGTCACATTAATTTTTTACTTGATTATAAAAAGATGAAAATATAATTTTGAATGCACAGTCAATGAAATGGCCATTCCCAGTTATGACTCTTCTGATTGCTTTAATTTTCAATTTCTATATAACTAAATAACTGGAGTCTTGGTGTGGTGTTTTGGGTTAATGCAGTGGACTGCAAAGTTGGTTTCAACCACAAGGTCAGCAGTTCAAACTCAACAAGTCGCTCCTCAGAAACCCTATACAGGGTTGCAACCAACTTGACAGCATTTAACAAGAGCAATACAACCAACTGGACTCCTGATGTGGCACTGTAGGATCAGCACTATACTTAGAACCATAAGGTCAGCAGTTCAAGCCCATCAACTGCTCCTCAGAAACCCTATACAAGGTTGCTGTGAGTTGGAACTGACTCAATGGCAGTTAACCGCAACACAACATATAACCAACTGGCAACACTACAAAAGTGCAAGAGTAATGAGCAAACCAATATATGAAAATTGATCTGAGAATTTAACGAGATTAGGAGATACTAGAAATATACAACCAGAACATTACTTAGAAGTGAGGATGATGAAGTTTCATACCATTTTGGGGAGTCGGTCATCAGGAAAGGCCATCTCTATAAAAACATTATGCTTGGTAAAGTAGAAGAGCAATGAAAATGAGAGAGAGAATAAACAGAATAGCAGCAATTATAGGCTCCAACATAGTAATAATCTTGAAGGACTAGGAAGTATTTCCTTCTGTTATATACAAAGTTATAAATGTCAAAATCTATGCCCATGGTTATAATTCCTTTTGGGAATAGGATATATTTGTTATGTTAATGAGATATTAGAGTAGGTTGCATCTGGAAGCAATCTCTTAAGAGATAAAAAAGTATTAAACATAAGCTAGAAAGTAGAGCTGCAGCGAAATACATGTCAAGACATGACTTACAAAACATCACATACAGGGGATTTTCAAGGAATCAGGAAGCAGACACTGAAGAGACCTTCTCCCTAAGGCAACAGAAGTTTCAAGGAGACAAAGACCTTCTGCCCCATAGCTGCCAGAGAAACAAAGCATTTCCCTAGCACTGGCACCCTGAATTTGGACTTTTAGTGTCTTAGAATGTGAGAGAATAAATTTGTGTTTGTTAGTCATGCACTTGTGGTATGTCAGTTACAGCCATAACAGAGAACTAAGACAGTCACCATGAGTGGGAGTCATCTCAATGTTGATTAACAACAAGAGTAGATACTGGAAAAAGACTTTTGTGCTCCCTTGTGCAAACTGCCATTGTCGCCTCAGGCCTCACCAGGTTTTTCTGAAATTCTCTGTCATTCTGTTCTATCCTTCTTTTCAAAGACTTTCACATTGTGGAAGCAAGGAAAAAGCTTCCAAACTCTTCATTCTTCCTGATGGACATTATAATTTTCAGACTATTTAGGTTTGAAACCATAGGCCACTTTTCTATTGAATCAAACTTAAAATTTAAAAGAACTTTTACATTGATAGAAAAGTCACACAAAGATAGTACAGATGCTTCCTATGTATCTCATTCCCATTTCCCCTTATTGTTATGTGCTTTGGTCGCAACTAAACATACAGCTTTCCAGACCATTCCGGCTCACAACAATCTGACTGGACAAAGTCCAATAGCCCCGAAGGCCTTCCAAGGTAGTAAATCCTTATGAAAGTACACCACCGCATCTTTCTCTTGTAAAGTGGCTGGGGGGTGGGGGGGTTCTAACTGGTGACCCTTCAGTTAGTGGAACACTTAAACCACTGTGCCATCAATGGTTACCAACCTAAAAGTTGGCGGTTCAAATCTACCCAGTGTTACTACAAAATACAGGCTTAACAAACTGTTTCTGTTACGATATCAGACAAGAAAACCCTATGGGACAGTTCTACTCTGTAACACATAGAGTCATCAGGGGTCAAAACTGACAATACACCATGACCCAGTGGGATTCATATCAGGGATGCAAGGATGGTTCGACATAAGAAAAACAATGTAATCCATCATACAAATTTTAAAAAAGGAAAAGAACCACATGCTGATATCAACTGATGCAGAAAATGTATCTGACAAAATCCAACATCCATTCCTGATAAAAACACTCCACAAAGTAGGAATTGAAGAGAAATTCTTCAACAT